AAATATATTTTTTTGCCAATTTGACAAAATATAGGTACAATTTTGATTCATTCACACTGTACAACTATTGTTGTATTGGTCATCTTAAAAAAAAAATGACCGTCTAGGAGAAAAGAGGCCAGTGCCCCTGACTAAATAGTCAGGTATTGCATGTTTTAAAAATTCTTGTGACACACCAGTGTGTCATGGCACACCCACTGAAAATTGCTGCAACAGACCAATAAAACAGAATAAAAAGCTGGATACCTTTTTGGTATCCACTGACAAACTCCAGCCCTAGAGTCTGAGGACTCTGTGTATCTTTCCTTACCTTAGCCTTCTTAGGTCACTCATCTTGCTCTCAACGATATCTGTGTACTTTAATGAGGTATAAGGGTTTTTTTCAATAGTTAACAGATGGTCTTTTTTCCTGAGGATTAGGGTTTTCCAGTGGCTAACCTGGGAAGCCTAAAATATAATGTCTTCTGCTCAGACAGTCTACTCAATTTATATGAGGTTTCTATCATAATTTTATCATTGAAGCCAACCCCCTTGCACCTTGGAACTTTTTTGGAGAGGTAGAGTGTAGACTCCATAGATCCCAGAATTCTTGCTGAGTTTGGGGAAGACCCTGTGTTCATGTCATTCTCTCTCCTTCATGATTTACAGTATAAACCAAGTGATGGTCCATGCACCAAATCCAGCTACTGACTTTGTTTACAGTCCTCAAATTAAAAGTGATTTTTACATTTTTACATAGTCGTAAAAATAAAAATTTTAAAAGAATATTTCATGACATAGGACAAGCCCATAGATTTCAATGCCCATAATGCCTACTTTCACCACTCCTGTTCAACATAGTTCTGGAAGTGCTAGCCATAGCAATTAGACAAGAAGAAATTAAAGGTATCCAAATTGGAAAAGAAGACGTAAAACTTTCATTATTCACAGATGACATGATACTGTACATAGAAAACCCTAAAGACTCCATCAAAAAATTATTGGACTTAATAAATGAATTAAGCAATGTAGCAGGATACAAAATTGACACCAAGAAATCTATGGTGTTTTTTTACAGCAGTAGTGAACTTACAAGAAGAGAGATTAAACAAAACAATCACATTTACCATTGCACCAAAAAAATTAAGATACCTAGGAATATATTTAACTAAGGAGGTAAAAGATTTGAACTCAGAAAACTACAGGACACTGAAAAAAGAGATAGAGGAAGACATAAACAGATGGAAGAACATACCATGTCTATGGATTGATAGAATCAACATCATTAAAATGTCCATACTACCCAAAGCAATCTATAGATTCAATGCACTCCCCATTAAAATACCAATGGCATATTTCACAGACCTAGAATGAACTTTCCAAAAATTTATCTGGAATAAAAAAAGATCCCAAATAGCTGCAGCAATCCTGAGAAAGAAGAATAAAGTAGGAGGGATCTCAATGCCAGATATCAAGCTGTATTACAAAGCTACTGTTCTCAAAATTGCCTGGTACTGTCACAAGAACAGACATATAGATCAATGGAATAGAATAGAGAACCCAGAAATAAAAAACACCATACACAAAAATAAACTCAAAATGGATAAAGGACTTAAACATAAGACAGGAAACCATAAAAATCTTAGGGGAATCCACAGGCAGCAAAATCTCAGACATATGCTGAAGCACTATCTGCACCGATACAGCTCCTAGGGAAATGGAAACTAAAGAGAAAATAAACAAATGGGACTACATCAAAATCAAAAGCTTTTGTACAGCAAAAGAAACCATCAACAAAACAACAAGAAAGTCCACTACATGGGAGAACATATTTGCCAATGTTATCACTGCTAAGGGTTTAATCTCCCAACATTTACAGGGAACTAATACAACTTAACAAAAGGAAGATAACCCAAACAAAAAATGGGCAAAGGATATAAATAGATACTTTTTGAAGGAGGACATAAGGAAGGCCAAGAGACATATAAAAACATGCTCAAAGGCACTAATCATCTGAGAGGTGCAAATCAAAATGATAGTGAGGTACCATCTCACACCGGTCAGAATGGCTATCAACAAATCAACAAATGACAAATGCTGGCGAGGATGTGGAAAAAAAGGAACCCTTGTGCATTGCTGGTGGTAATGAAGACTGGTACAGCCACTGTAGAGAACAGTATGGAGTTTCCTCAAAAAACTAAAAATGGAACTCCCATTTGACCCAGTGTTCCCACTTCTAGGAATATATCCCAAGAAACTAGAAACACCCATCAGAAAGGATATATGCACCCCTATGTTCATAGCAGCACAATTCACCATAGCTAAGATTTGGAAACAAGCCTAATTGCCCATCAGCAGATGAGTGGATTAAAAAACTGTGGTACATCTACACAATGGAATAATATGATGTGGTGAAAAAGGAAGAGTTCTTACCATTTGCAACAGCATGGATGGAACTGGAGAGCATTATGCCAAGCGAAATAAGCCAGTCAGAGAAAGATAAATATCACATGAGCTCGCTCATTTGTGGAATATAATGAACAACATAAACTGATGAACAAAAACAGATCCAGAGACAGAGAAGCATTGATCAGACTTTCAAACCTTAGAGGGAAGGTGGGGCAGGGTGGAGGTAAGGGGGAGAGATCAACCAAAGGACTTGTATGCATGCATATAAGCCTAATCAATGGACACAGACACCAGGGGGGTGAAGGCATGAGTGGTGGTGGTGGTGGTGGCGGGTTATGGGAGTTAAGGACACATATGTTATATCCTAATCAATAAAGAAAAAAAAGAAAGTTGTATTAAAACACAACCACACTTTTTCATTGACATACTGTCTATGACTGCTTTCCAGCTACAGTGGCAGAGCTGAGTAGTTGAGACAGATCATTTAACCTGCAAAATCTAAAATATTTACTGTTTGATCCTTTTTACAAAAACTTTTCTGACTCATGGTATAGTTGGAGTCCTCAAATATTGCTATATATATGATAAAGAATAAAGAGCCAGGGTCATAACAACCGATTACAACCGAAGGCTCAACCAGACCCGAAGTCAGTGCTGGGTTGCCGTGGTGACTGCCCGGGGTCTGTGGATCAGGCCTGGAGAGAGGCCTGCTGAGAGAGAGGCAGGGTCTGATCCATAGCCTCTGTGGCAGCTGTTGATCAGAACTTGCCTCTCCTGTCCTGGCCAACAGCCACACCTCCATTTCTCTCTAGGCCTTCACAGAGGCTGCTGATCATCCCCGCCTTTCCGATCAGGCACCGTTGATAGGCCCAGAGACGCTGACTGGCATAGAAACAACCGGTCAGAACCAAACCTGTGTCAACTGTGAGGAGCCAATGGCTGCCTAGGAGGCAGAGCTTTTGACGCTGACTGGCATAGAAATTGACCAGTCAGAACCAAATCTGGGTCAACTGTGAGGAGTCAAGGACTGCCTAGGAGGTGGAGCTTTTGACTCTGACTGGCATAGAAACCGACCAATCAGAACCAAATTGGCCAGCAGAGGAGGGCAGTTGGGGGCAACCAGGCCTGCAGGGGAGGGCAGTTGAGGGTGAGATCAGGCTGGCAGGGGAGAGCAGGTGGGGGTGAGATCAGGCCGGCAGGGGATGGCAGTTGGGGGAAACCTGGCTGGCAGGGGAGGGCAGTTGGGGGCAAGATCAGGTCAGCAGAGGATGCCAATTGGGGGCAAGATCAGGCCGGCAGGAGAGGGCAGTTAGGGGTGATCAGGCAGGCTTGCAGAGGGTTAGGGGCAATAGGGCAGGCAGGCAGGTAGAGGCAGTTAGGGATGATCAGGCAGGCAGGCAGATGAGCGATAGGAGCCAGCGGTCCCAGATTGCGAGAGGGATGTCCAACTGCCTGTTGGATCAGGCCTAAACTGGCAGTCGGACATTCCCCAAGGGGTCCCTGATTGGAGAGGGTGCAGGCTGGGCTGAGGGAACCCCACCCCCTCCATGCACAAATTTTGTGCACTGGGCCACTAGTATGTATATAATGAAGATATATATATGTGTATGTGTATGTATATAGATTTTATTGTATACACCTTATATCTCTACCTGTACATAGATAATAGGGCATCCAATTTATATATCATTAAGATAAAGACAAACCAAACAGTGCTAAGCTTCAGCTGACCAAAATTATGGTTTGAGTTTCTAAATACTTAATTATCAAGTCTTGTTTCTAAGGCAATGCCATTTGTGTTTTCTGGGAAATATTATCCTGTAGATATAGAAATGGCTCTACTCTTTTGATACTTTCATCCAAATCACATTTATTACTTAGAATTAATCAGATATCTTTAGTAGTAGTAAAGTTATGTTTTATAATTGTATCATGTTTTTATTTGACTTAGGATATGGATTTTTAAGAATGAGTTAGCTCTTATTTTTCAGCTTCTAGTTGACAATAAAATACTACACAGAAGTTGTTCTCCTAACTCTAGTTGTCAGTCACAAGCCTATTTTAATAGATTTCTTTATTAAATCTATATCTCACCCTTTTTTTATTTTACAAATCCATTTGAGAGAGATTGGAAAAAACTGTTTGTTTTGGCACAGGGAGAGAATAAAATGGTAATAAAAAATAAAAATGAATTTATGCATTTATGTATTTTCTTCATATGAAAAGTATCAATGTGCTTAGAGTTAAAGAAAATTGTTTCATTTTGAAAATATTTTTTCCAATTCCCTTTTCAAGATATGGATGTCTTTAGATATATTTTTCCACTAAATTAGATGCAGTTATCAATACTTCTACTATTTTTGGGGATAAAAGAAAGCCAAGCTCTTTCCTTAAAAAAAATTAAGTCAGTTTTTTGAATCATCAATGCAAATAAGAAAATTTTATGCCACTTATAAAGTCAGTAGTTAAGTGGTTCGACAACATAGTAGTCTTTCCTGTTTTACAAATACTAGTTGTAATTTATCATGTTAACCTTTTACAGGAGGGTGTCTTTAAGGCTGAATAGAATCTACTTCCTGCTTCATTACCCCCCCCCCCCCCACCACACACGTGGCCAGATTATTATGACCACCGGATGTTTGTAGGCAAATTAGCTATATTTTCGTGCTGAAGTTACTAGAGAGCCAGACCATTATAAATAGGGAAGCAGGTTGTTTACCACGACAGTAGAAGTGAATTTTTTCTAAAGATTTGGGTAAACAACACGATTTAACAGCCTTTGAACGTGGGATATATATTATTATGAGTGGCCAGATTATTATGACCACCTGGCGTTTGTAGGCAAATTAGCCATACACTGCATCTTATGGGATATGGAAGCCGAAGGCCTGTTTGAACACCTTTGCTGTCTGCAGTTACCAAGATAAAACATCTCCAATTCGCACAGGAACACAAGGATTGGATAGTCGAGCATTGGAAAAAAGTCATGTGGTCCAATGAATCACATTTCCAGTTGCATCATGCAGATGGCAGAGTGAGAATTTGGCAGAAACAGCATGAAAGCATGCACCCCACATGCATAAGTACAACCCTTCAAGCTGGTGGGGGCAGTGTTATGGTTTGGGGCATGTTTTCCTGGCATGTTTTGGGCCCTTTAATTCGTGTGTAACAACATCTGAATAGCACAAGATACCCAACTATCGTTGCTGATCAAGTTCATCCTATCATGTTAATGGCATATCCCAATGAAGATGGCTTCCTCCAACAAGACAATGCGTCATGCCACGGTGCTCATATTTTGCAGGAGTGGTTTCAAGAACATGAGGGAGACTTTACCTTGTTTAGGTGGCCCCCACAATCACCAGATCTCAATCCAATTGAGCATTTGTGGGACGAAGTTAAAAGAGCCATCAGGCAGCTGGTTCCACAATCATCAAATCTCACA